TTCTAACTCAGCTCTGCGAGAGGCCCAAAAGAAAACATCTGCAACCATGGCTGGTTAATGTCAGGAAACTCAGAGATAAAGTCTGCTGACTATGCTAATCAAGATTGGGAAGTATGTCAAAACCAAGCCACACAGGAACTAGGTGACCTAAAAATAAGCTGTACAAAACAAGATGGTTAATCAACTCTGACCCACTGGTCGCCCCTCATGATCTGACCAATCACAAATGGACAAATAGCCAACCGTTCTGCTCTAACTGCAATGATTGGCTTCTGTAACAAACACTTCCTTTGCAGTTTTTTCCCTTAAAAGCACCAGCTTTGCCCCAACTCGGGGTTCTCCGTTTCCACCTGTTTGGAGCACCCCGTGTGCAGGGAATAATAAAAACCCCTTTGTTCTCGCATGAGAGCTGAGTCCTTGAGGTCTCCTCTGCAACGCCAGTCTTACAAAACCACATCCTGTTCCAGTTATATTGCCTATCATGGCAGAACACTGAGAAAGGGACAGCAACAGTTTCACACTGTTGGAATTTACCAGAAGACACATGGAGTAACAGTGTGAAACTTCAAGGGAAGTGTGCTGTCCCTTAACAATGGCAAGTTTGGGCAAACTCCTAGTTACTCTGAATTGCAGAATGTCTGAAAGTGATGAAAGGACTATGGGACTGTACACTGGGGAATAGGGCGTCCTCTGAAGCACAACTTTGTGAGAAAGAAATTACAAGGAAAGAATGACCTCTCAAAATGGATTTGAAATTTATTTTTATCCAGCCCTAGAGCGCTATTGGCCGAAGCCCTGAGGGTCAGATTGGATGACCAAGGGGTGAGGAGAGATCAAAAGAAAAACACAAACTTTTTAGGGAACTAGATATTTGGCCAGGTGCCCAGAATAGTGGCAAACTGTGTTTGGTGTCAAGTTGCTCAAAACTTGCCTTCACAAGAAAGCAACTTTCAGCAGGACCATTGACTAGGAAGAGGACATATTTCAAAGGAATTGTAAAAAGCCTTTTAGCTCCACACCGAGTTTAGGGGAAAAATGGCAGTGTCTGTTAGCCTTTCAGGTTTTAATAGGAGAAAACCTAAAATCATGTATGATCTCTTTGATGGATTCCTTCAGAGATTTAGGAGAAGTCTAAAACAAAATGGGTGTGGTCTTGTATGACTCATAAAGTTAAAATTAGGAAAACAAAACAATTTGAAAAACCGCACAACCAATAAAATCCAAAACATTAAATTGAAAGAGTTTCACAGGTTTTAAAAACACTTATGGAATTAACATCTATTGAAGACATTTATTCTGTGATCTGCCTTACTCAGACCCTGTATATCAGGAACTGTGAAAGCAAAATTCAAAATGTTATGTGAAGTCACCTTTTAATTGGTGAGTCGACGACACAATAGACATGCTCTGTGCTTGCTTCCTCATACATTCTCCATATGTGCTCTCAGAAAAAATGTATACAGAGTACTTAGGCTGGTTTCTTTTTGCACTATTGTGTTTTCCACTAGAGTTACTAGAAGAACTTCTGTCCTGTGTTCAACTGCCCAAGTTGGAGAACACACATGTCACAACTAACATGAAATCTTCCCTTCAACAGCCTAATTAAATCATCATGAGAATTTAGTTTCCCTTCCATTCTCAAAGATATTTACAACAGATTGATGGCTCCCTTGCTTTCCCATGTTCTTTCCTTGGTCTTTCCTATCTTCAAATTTGGTGCTCTGTTCTGAGTCCTGATCTCCAACTTCCCCCATATTTCTACACATATGGAAACCTGTCAAGAACTTGCTCAGGGGTGGTATCATTGTGTTAGGATATCTGCTCTTGAAATTCACCATCAACCCACAGTCTCTGATTTCAAAACCCATGTGCTTGCAGATGATTTTCTGCTGAGAAATTTCACAGAAAGTTCTTATACTGCAGGTTAATGAGGTCAACAAGGCCTCCATGAATAATGCAGGGAACACAGCTAAGAAAAATGACATACATGTCAAGGAAGAAATGGATGCTTAAGGCAAGATCATTGCAGAGATCATCTGCAAGTTCCTGGGATATTTCATTTCCCATTGATATTTTATCCATGTGTAGACTTGCAGGCATTTCCATCCACAAACTGTGTGCAATGAAGCCTTTAGAGAAAATACTGTTGGATACCAGGCCTCTGAAAATTCATCCATTTCAAAATTTGCCCTGCAAATCATCTGTGCCACTGAGGTCTCCATGACAATGTCCAGCCTTGTGACTGATGTCTCCTACTGCAAACATGTATCCTAGAACCTGAAGTCTAGCTGACAGTGCTGCTCAGCCAGTCACAGCCCAGTGTGGTTGCCTGACAACCATAGCCCAACTCTGCATCTTTCCACCTCATACAACCACAGCCATTGAATCATGCAGTATTTTCCTTAGCCTCTCTAGTTTGGGTCAGAATTTTCTTTCCAGTTGCAGTTATCAAGAAAACTTGACATACTTTGTGAAGTGGAGGGAAGTAATTGGAGAAACTCTTGCTCTGTCCTGTGGTTTAAGGGGTCCAAATGTTAGTAGTCAGTGTATTAATTTTTCAAACTGATAGAGCCAAATGTGTCAGGGCAAGAAAAGAAAATGTCACCATGTGTTAGGTTCTGCCCGATTTCTCAGGGCTTGAAAAATAAACCTGCACTCTCTAAATGCAGTCTCTCCTGGATTATTGCCACCATGGTGATATCAGTTGGCACTGAAACCCAGCAACCTGAGGATGAGTCCCTAAGTGAAGGAGAACTCTTGCAAGGCATAAATATTTGGAATGCCTGCTTCGAATATCCAGTTTCCTTGTGTTTCACAACTCTGAGGTCCCAATTTCAAGGAGGTCTGTAGCTATGCACCCATAACCCTGCACACACTAGACATGAGGTACTGGCTTAACACATAAACCACCAACATCCTAGAGAGCTCATCAGCAACAGGTTTTCCCAAATTTCAAATGTAACCAGGTGGAAGGGAAACCCTTAGAAATGGGATCCAAATTCCCCTTTCCCTTAATATCCCAGGTATTTTCTCATGGTATGAAATATTTAGTCTCCACAACTAATGAAGTGATCCCAATGACCTATCACCAGATAGTTTTGCTTTGTTGTTTTCACTTTTTTTCAAACAGTGTATTGCTCTGTAATTCACGCTGGCCTAGAACTAACATTATGGCCCAGGCTGGAATGGAACTCACAAACAGCCTTCCACCTCAGCCTCACGATTGCTGAGTTTACAGGCATGAGCCACCATGCCCAGCATTTGCACAGATATTCTTACACAATTTGTGTAATCACATTACTGCTCTATAGGTAGCTTTTGTACCTCAGTCTTTAGGCAAATGTCCCACTTTTGTTTTGGCTCCCCTTGGGCAGCATCTCCATTTCTGTTGGTATAAGCTCCAAGACTGCAGGCAAGGGTGTGGCCTCCCCTTTCCAGGGTGTGACATGGGATGTTTACAGCCCAGGCGAACAAGGTCCAAGGACACTGGGCCCTCTGTATGTGATAAGGAATGAGTACAGATTCAGGAGTTAATCCGGACATACCAGAGAGCTGAGTGACTATGGTTGAAACAAAATATCAGGCCATGGGCTGAAGCCTGAAGCTTCAGTACCTATACCCTCTTGAATAATTTTGACAATTACCTGCTGGACAATTGTGTGCTCTGAATTGGACTTTAATCTGTTATATTTTTTTTTTGCTTTCATTTTTTCACATAGGAGGAAGATTACCATTGTTTTTGAAAGGTTTGGGCCCAGACAGGACACTGTAGCCAGGAAAGCCACAACCGGAAGCAGGAAGCCCCATCTTTCCCTGCCCCTAGGAAGTTACCTGTGACGCCATCTTCCCACCCCTGGGAATTTACATATGGCGCCAAACCTAGGATCAATGGGCTACCTGTGTATCCCTAATGCCCGCCTTAGGTTCCACCCCAAACCGAGGCTATTTACAGGCCCCCACGCCACGTGTCCACAGGAGAGATCACCGGACGCCAGCTGTGGGGGTGCCGGTCATCTCTCTCTGTGTTCTCAGAATAAAGGCCGCTTTGTATTTTATATTTCTTATTTATTATCTTTTGTTAATATTTTTCATCTTTTGGAAATAACTCTATCATTTGGTTCCGTGACTCGATAGGCAGGCAACTGACTCTTGGGCCACATACCCAGAGTCTCCTAGCCGATAACCAGATAACATCCTGGATTAATCCCGAGCTTTTTCCTCTCCCAAGACGTTCCTGTCGCCAGCCGCCTGCACTCCGCATTGGCCGGACTGATTTCAGGTGAGCACTCCCTAGGGAACTTTTCGCACTGGGCAGCCCCAGTGGAGTGTTCTCCCCGTCTGCATGGGTCTGTGCATTTTCACGTCCTTAGGACCACCCAGGGCAGGGTTCTTTCTGGGCAAACCTGCATCCACAAAATCTCTCACGTTCTTTGGGTTCGGATAGCCCAAAGCAGAGATCTTTGGGAACGCCCACACTGAAAGAACGCCTCACTTCCCTTAAAGCCTTGCGCTTTCACGGGCAAAACTGTTACTGACCCCACGTAGACTCCACTCCTAAATCTCTCAGTGACGACTGGAATTTATGAGTTTTTGGAACATTAGCCGCCGCGTGGTACCACAAATAAGTGACGACATGTTCTGGACCTCCGGTTTTTTTTCTTGCCTGAATTGAAAGAGTTAACTTTACAGCTGCAACCCCCGAGCTATCTGTACAAAACAGGAAGGGACTTTCCGTGGGTCAAAAACCGCAGAATGTTCTGTTTCAGTGAGTTAGGCAAGATAAAGCAACTGTTCCGGAAACACAGTGACCGAGCTACGAACCCCGGGCACCAAAGTTACCCAACCCTAAGGCCCTCCAATCAGCCCCCGCCAAGCCCTGCGCCGTTCAAAACTAACCAATGCAATCTTCTGTAATCTCGCCTGCTTTGCGGTTTATGCCTTTAAAAACCCTGTATAACTTCCCCTTGGGGTCCTCCGCACTCATTTGCCGGGTGGACCCCATGCGCATGGAAATAAAGTTTTGCCCCCTTAGAGGCGTGAGTCCTTGGGGTCTTCTTCTCTGGGATGCCGGCCTTACATTTGGAGGCCCCAGCGAGATCGTACGTCTCACGGGAGACGATCTCAACGGCTCAGCGTCCCTCTTCGGGTGAGTTAGACTGGTCATATTTTTACTTTCGTTTTGGATCTATCCGCCGTTTCTCTTCGCCCCAGGCCGAACTCCGGCTCTACTTCAGGGGCATTTGTTCTTTGGTGATTGGGGGACGCCCCACACAGTTTTCCGTGATTCACCGTCTGCGATAGGATTTTTCTATCAGTCTGGGGAATTTCATTCCCAATCTGTGGTCCATCCGGGACCGTCTGTGATAGGATTTTCCTATCGGTCTGGGGAATTTCATTCCCAATCTGTGGTCTGTACGGGCCAATCTGGAGGCACCCCTTAAGGTGACTCATTTGGTGTGAGACTAATGCGTGAGAGTGAGGTGGCTGGCCCGTTTGTCCTGTGTGTTGTGGCTGTTGTGATCAGTTATTTGTTGTGTCGCGCGTACGCTAACCACTCTTTGTCTTCAGAACACCATGGGACAGACGACATTGTCCCCATTGGCCCTCACCCTCGACCACTGGTCAGAGGTTGGAGAGAGGGCTAACAATCTCTCCTTACAGGTTAAAAAAGGTAAATGGCAGACTTTCTGCTCGTCTGAGTGGCCCACATTCTCCGTGGGATGGCCACCGGAGGGGACTTTCCACCTTCCCCTCATTTTAGCAGTTAAAAACATCATCTTCCGCCCCGGATGAGAGGGCCACCCCGACCAGGTCGCCTACAACTTGGTATGGCAAGACCTCAGGGAGGAGCCCCCACCGTGGGTAAATCCCTTCCTTCCTCCACCCGACTCCTCCATACCCAAACTCCTAGCTCTGAAAGGGCCCCATGCCTCGGTCCTGCCTGACTCCCAAACTGACCTCCCTCTGCTCGACTGTGATCACCCTCCTCCTCGACCTACCTTGCCTCCTCCTTATGCACTTCCACCACCCGTCTCCCCGCTGGAGTCGGAGGCCTCCCTTCCCTCAGCTCCAACTCGCTCTCCGTGCTCCTCACCTCCCTCTGTGGCCTGCTCCGAGACCAGTTCCCCTGGGCCTGAGGGCCCAGCCCGGAACACCCACAGTAGGCAACGGCCGGAGGACCCTGTCGTCACTCTCCCTCTCCGTCCCTACGGGCCCACTATAAGTGATGGGACAGCGGAGGGGGAAATGCCGGCCCTACAGTATTGGCCATTCTCATCCTCAGACTTATACAACTGGAAAAATAATAACCCCTCTTTCTCCGATGACCCCTCTAAGTTAACAGGCCTAATGGACTCGCTCATGTTCTCTCACCAACCCACATGGGATGACTGCCAACAACTATTGGGGGTCCTGTTCACCACCGAGGAAAGAGATCGAATCCTCCTCGAAGCCTGAAAAAAACGTTCCAGGAGATGATGGCAGACCCACCCAGAGACCCGATCGGATTGACGATCTTTTCCCGCTAAAGCGCTCCGACTGGGACCCCAACTCTCCTGACGGTAGGCAGCATCTTTCCATCTATCGCCAGACTCTAATGGCGGGTCTCCGGGCGGCCACAAGGCACCCTACCAATTTGGCCAAGGTAAGAGAAATAACTCAAGCCCACTGAGACTCCCTCAGTTTTTCTAGAACGCCTGATGGAGGCTTACCGACAGTACACGCCTTTTGACCCTGAAGATGAAGGGCAACAGGGCTCAATCACCATGGCCTTCATAGGGCAATCGGCTCCTGATATAAGACGTAAGCTCCAAAGGCTAGATGGTCTACAAGACCTAACTCTGAGGGATCTCATTAAGGAAGCTGAAAAAGTCTACTATAAACGAGAGACAGAGGAGGAAAGGGAGTTAGCTAGAGACAAAAGATGAAACAAGGAATTGGCAAAAGTGTTGGCCACAGTTATTCAGGGTAAGCCTGAGACAGGAAAGGGAAAGCCCAATCGCCCCCCATTAGACCCTGACCAATGTGCATATTGCAACGAGAAAGGACACCTAATTAAAGACTGCGAAAAACTTAAAAGGAAGCAAGCCAAGGAGGAACGAGAAAAGCAGTCCTCACAGCTGGCCCCCATGCTCACTTTAGATGAAGAAGATTAAGGACTTCGGGGCTCGGTTCCCCTCCCCGAGCTCAGGGTAACATTTAAGGTGGAGGGGACTCCCGTGGAATTTGAGGTCGACACGGGAGCTGTTTACTCAGCCCTTCAGGCACCATTGGGAGACCTTTTAGCCAAAAAATCGCTAGTTCAAGGGGCTAATGGAAGCAAATATCGCTCATGGACCACCGAGCGCACGGTCAAGCTGGGAAAAGGAAAAGTAAAACATTCCTTCCTGGTCATCCCGGAATGTCCTGCTCCCCTGTTAGGGAGAGATCTGTTAACTAAATTAGGGGCAAAAATTTCCTTTGAGCCCCAGGGACCTCAAGTGACATTCCGCAACCTGAAGGTTGGACAGCCCATGGTTACAATATTAACTCTAAAGTTGGAAGATGAATATAGGCTCTATAATGATCAGAGTCTCCAGCCTGTTCCTCCTGCTTGGTTAGCTGATTTCAAGGACTCCTGGGCTGAAACGGCTGGATTGGGACTAGCCAACCAACAGCCACCTGTGGTGGTCACTCTAAAGGCCACTGCCTCCCCCATCCGGATTAGACAATACCCCATTGGCAGAGAGGCCTACCAAGGAATCAAGGTACACATACAGAGACTTTTAGATCAGGGGGTACTAACCCCTTGTCGGTCGGCATGGAATACACCACTACTCCCTGTTAAAAAGCCGGGAACCAATGATTACCGGCCAGTGCAGGACTTGAGGGAGGTCAACAAAAAGGTGGAAGACATCCACCCCACTGTGCCAAACCCCTATAATCTCCTCAGTGGCTTAAACCCATCCAGAACCTGGTACACTGTCCTAGATTTGAAAGATGCCTTTTTCTGCTTGCCCCTCCATAAGGACAGCCAACCTCTGTTTGCGTTTGAATGGACTGACCCAGACTCTGGAATAAATGGACAATTGACATGGACGCACCTCCCCCAGGGATTCAAGAACAGCCCAACTATCTTTGATGAGGCTCTCGACAAAGATCTGGCTCCATTCCGGGCTCAACACCCGAACCTCACTCTACTTCAATATGTGGATGACTTGCTGCTGGCAGCAGATTCAGAGAAGGACTGCAACAACGGGACCCAGGATCTCCTATGTGAGTTGGCCACTCTGGGATACAGAGCATTGGCAAAATGGCTCAGATCTGCAAACGAGAGGTAATTTTTCTGGGTTACTCCCTAAGGGAAGGAAAAAGATGGCTCACTGAAGCTAGAAAGCAGACTGTGGTCCAGATTCCTCCCCCCAAAAGCCAAAAGCAGCTCCAAGAATTTCTGGGTACGGCAGGGTTTTGCCGGCTGTGGATCCCAGGATTCGCATCCTTGGCAGCTCCCCTTTAACCATTGCTTAAGGGAGGATCACCCTTTGTCTGGGGAAAGGATCACCAACAGGCCTTCAATGCCATCAAGCGGGCCCTCCTATCTGCTCTGGCCCTAGCTCTACCTGATATAAACAAACCCTTCACTCTCTTCATCGAAGAGAGAAAGGGAATAGCCAGAGGAGTGCTAACTCAGACCTTTGGGCCATGGAAACGACCGGTGGCGTACCTCTCAAAGAGACTAGATACTGTGGCAAACAGATGGCCACTGTGCTTAAAGGCCATTGCAGCAGCAGCCCTGCTCACTACGGACACTGACAAACTGACTTTGGGACAAAAATTGACAATTATTGCCCCACACACGTTAGAAAGTGTCATCCGCCAACCTCCCGATAGGTGGCTCTCAAACACCCGGATTACACATTACCAAAGCCTCTTACTCAATAAAGACAAAGTAACCTTTGGGCCCCCGGTGACCCTCAATCCGGCAACCCTACTACCAGAAGAAACTCCAGAACCAATTCTTCATACCTGCCAAGATATCCTGGCAGAGGGAACCGGGGTGCAATTGGACCTGTCGGATTACCCCTTGCCCGATGCTGAGGTGACCTATTTCACTGACGGAAGTAGCTTCTTGGTCCAAGCTGGCCACAGGCAAGAGACTATGTGGTTCCAGGCCTGGACAATACTGGGAAGTAGACTTTACTGAAGTTAAACCTGCCCAGTATGGACTAAAATATCTGTTAGTCTTTGTGGACACCTTTTCCAGATGGATCGAGGCCTTTCCTACCAAAAAGGAAACTGCTGCCGTAGTCACAAAGAAGTTGATAGAAGAAAATTTTCCCCGGTTCGGACTACCAAAGTTAATAGGGTCTGATAATGGGCCGGCGTTTGTGGCTAAGGTAAGTCAGGGATTGGCCAACATATTGGGGATTGATAGGAAATTATAGACCCCAAAGTTCAGGACAGGTAGAAACTATTAAGGAGACCCTCACTAAATTAGCTCATGAGACTGGCTTAAAAGATTGGACGATGCTCCTGCCTTATGCTCTTTTTCGTGCGTGGAATACCCTGTCAGCCAAACCTCCTAACCTCACTCCCTTTGAGATCCTCTTTGGCACTCAACCCCCCATTCGGGATCCCACTCCCTTGACTGAACATTCCACCCTGTTACAAACCTCCTTGTCTGACAGGCTCATCACCCTTTACCGCCTACAAAAGGATTTGTGGACACAGCTAGCCTCAGCCTGCGCTCCCAGCGAATCTCCCATACCACATCCATACCAGGTGGGAGACTTTGTGCTCGTCCGGTGCACAACAAGAGACCCTACAACCTCGCTGGAAAGGACCATACCAGATCCTATTAACCACCCCCACAGTGATAAAGGTCGACGGCATCGCCTCTTGGATCCATGCGTCACATTTGAAACCAGCTTCGGCACCAGAGGACGGTCACTGGGAACTCAAGTGGTCTGATAACCCCCTAAAGCTAAAGCTGCACCGAAAAACCCCCTAAAACTGTGTATAGACACCTCCCTTGTGTGCTCCTACAAGATGACCCACATAAGACCCCAGACTTTAGCCCTCTGGGCCCTGACGGGGCTACTTATATTGATAATCCCCGCCGTGGCCAGCCCCCACCATCCCTGGAAGTGGTCATTAATATGGTGGGGGGACCAACGAGTGATCCGAACTTGGGAGGGATCTGGCCCGCCCACCTTTAACTTTAGGTCCTGTGAGCTTGCACCCATCAGCCCTTGTCTTGACCTAATCCCGAGAACCCCCTCTGAGTGAAACCAAAGCTCTCTCTCTCTGGGAGTCAATCCTGCCGTATGTCCTTCCCTTATTGGGACCTCTGGCTGGGTTCATCACGGTCATGGCTATAGCTCCCTGCCTCATTAATCGCGTAACCAAGTTCGTGAGGTCTCAGATTTCTCAAGTAAAAGTTATGATGCTACGCCAAGAATATGACCCCTGCCCATACAAGACCTATAGGATTAAAGGTTATTCACAAGAAAAGGGGGGAATGAAAGAGTTAACTTTACAGCTGCAACACCCGAGCTATCTGTACAAAACAGGAAGGGACTTTCCGTGGGTCAAAAACCGCAGAATGTTCTATTTCAGTGAGTTAGGCAAGATAAAGCAACTGTTCCGGAAACACAGTGACCGAGCTATGAACCCCAGGCACCAAAGTTACCCAACCCTAAGGCCCTCCAATCAGCCCCCGCCAAGCCCTGCGCCGTTCAAAACTAACCAATGCGATCTGCTTCTCTAATCTCACCTGCTTTGCGGTTTATGCTTTAAAAACCCTGTATAACTTCCCCTTGGGGTCCTCCGCACTCGTTTGCCGGGTGGACCCCATGCGCATGGAAATAAAGTTTTGCCCCCTTAGAGGCGTGAGTCCTTGGGGTCTTCTTCCCTGTGACGCTGGCCTTACAGAATTAGTCATGGGGAATGTATTTTCTAACTCCCAAAAGACGCCTTTACAATGCCTAATTTCCAATTTACGTACTCTAAAAATTAAAGGTACCATAAAAACTAAACAACTAACTTTTTACTGCCAGGAGGTCTGGCCAACCTACCTGCTTATCGGCAAGCCTTGGCCCAAAAAAGGAACATTTGACCCCTGCATTCTGAGGAACTTGTACGATTTTTGTCAAGCTGGCAACAAGTTATTAGAACTCCCTTATGTCCAAGCCTTTCTTATTCTGAGAACACGCCCATCTCTCATTAAATCTTGTGCTCCCGCTGAGATACTTTTAGCAAACTCTACCACGCTGCAAACTTTTCCGCCCTGCCCTCAGGGTTCGCTTGAGGACGTTCCTCTGGTGTTTTTCCAGCCACCGCCTGCCTACCACCAAACTCGTTCCCTGGCATTACCTCCCACCGGGCCGCTCTCCCTTCCCCCTATGCCTGATTCTCTCAGCAGCTCTAATCCCTCTCCGTCGCAGATACCTCCCGCTGTGCAATGCTCTCCCTCTCTGCTTTCCGGGACCCATAACTCTTCCAGCAGCTTTAATCCCTCTGTTAGTACTTCCTCGCAGTCTCTGACTTCCTCTCCTGAGAATTCTGTATCCCCTACAGCATTCTCACTGCCCGCCCACCATACTAGGTCTCGGTCGCTATGTCCTTCCAGCAGGCCGCGTGATTGTTCCAGCTTCCGCCAGGAACAGTCGCCATGTTGCAACCCTCTGCCACGTGGGATGGCACTGCCATGTTCAGGAGGGCCACATGGCGACAGGGTGCCGCCATGTTTCGGGTCACGTGACAGGGCGCCGCCATGTTTCCAGGACCCTCACTGTCAACTGACGTCTTCTTGTGGCTCCTCTTGTGAACTGCAACAGCTGCCCTGTTGCAGTGCACATGATGCTTCATTGTGCACACAGTGAGACGCCATCTTCTCATGTTTCCCAAGGTGACCGGCAGCAGCTCTGTAGCCACTCTACAGATGATTGCTCACATGCGCCTACCGGAAGGATGGCTGCTCAATGGCCCTCTGCTCCGGAATCTCCTCAGGCTCTGCTATCGCTTCGGGAGCCAGCTGGCCCCAAGGAACTTGTTAACATCCATGTGCCTTTTTACACTTCTGATCTATCCCAGACTGTCCATAAATTAGGTAGCTTTTCTGTTGACCCACAGAATTATATCAGGCAATTTGAATTCATTACTAATTGTTATGATTTACATTTTAAGGATGTTTATGGGATTCTAAATACCACTCTCACCTCACAAGAACGGAATCAGCTGTGGCAAGCAGCTCAAAAAGAAGCTGATCACAACCCAGCTGTGTTCCTAAACTGGTTTTCTAATCCTCGTGCCCTGCAAGCAGTTCCAGCTTCGCGTGCTGTGTTGGGCCGCCTCCCAGCCCCTCCCCCATGCACCATCCCAGCCCCTCCCTCCCCCATGCGCCATCATCGCCGCTGCCACCTTACACGTTTCTGGGGGCAGTCTGAGCCCGCCCCTGCGCTCTACATCCCAGCACTTGCCCCACTCACTGGGCGTGCTCTGCCGGAGCGCCGCGAAACAGCAGCTCAGCGGCTCCGCTCAGCCATGCTTTTTATTAAAAATTGGCTCCACTCAAAAGATGCTTTTTTATTACAATTCTCAAACCATTTAATCAAGGTTATTGGCCACCTGATAATTTTACCAGCCTTGTTTATCAATCAAAGCCTTCACCAATCTCCTGTTTAACAACTAAGGTTATAAATTCCTTTTTGCTGGGAACCACTAGCTCTATTTCAAGACAAGGGTTTTCTTCAAAGTTTTATTTTATTTGTCTTGGTTCATACTACTGCAAATAACAACTTTAAAAGTAAATGTGTTCAGAATTTGACAGTATTAGATCAGTTTTGATTTATTCATAAGATTGATAACCTTTACTGCAAAATGTTTCCATTAAAGCCTTCTTTGGCAGACTAAGGCTTTGTTAATTCTACGTGTCACCCTATAAAAAAAGTGATATGCCATCCAGATAAAGCCTGCTCTTTAATCCAAAATGCCAATATTAAATTCCTGCATACTTACTTAATTCTATTGTAGTACAAATCCCAAACAAAAAGGCAAAATTTGACCTTCAAACCTTAGAGAGATCTTAATATGGTTTTTCATATTTTTAACACTTGTGACACTTGGAGTTCTGAGACAGGAAAACCTACACAAGGTGGAGCTGCCTGGCCCCTCCATGGACCATGCTCAAATGCAGCAGAAGACATTGGCCACAAAATGCCCCATCCTGGCATTCTTTGAGACCTTACTCCAGGGCTACTGGACTGTCCTAGCCACCAGAGAGTGGGTAAGTCATCCTAAGTTCTAGCCCTGACAGGAAATGTCAACACTGCCAGATTCGTCCCCAACAGAAAATCGCTGCTGAAGACTGAGAAGACTCAGGGCCAGCAGCCACCTTTGTGGGTGTCTGTCTCGGATTCCAAGTTGCACTACAGCCTCAGGTAAGACATTCTCTATATTTGTGGACATAGAGGCCATATATACAGAATTCTTCCTGAGTATTCAGGCTGCTATATTAAGTCCTCAATCTCTATGACAGGGTATTGATGGTCAACCTATGCCATTTACAAACTGGGCCTATTTTGTGCAGGTCCCAGTCCTAAATCTTAAAATGCCTTTTATACAGGCTGACTTAGACACACTGAGGCCTCAACAGCTTCCACCTGTTGTTGCTGGTGGACCCTTCCTCAGTGATATAGACCACCCCCTTCCTATCTTATTCACCAGTTTCTCAGGTAACCCTAGTCAAGACTCACAGATACATTTTTGTCTTCTCACTTGGTTTATACTTTTTCAGGATACATAAAAGCCTTTCTCATACTTGCTAAAGTTCTGTTACAGCAAATCATTCCAAAGACTACAACCAGGTTACAGTGACCCATGCCTAAATCAAAGTTGCTGGACTGCCATCCTGATTTCACATCACTCAGGCTAAGTGGTGCCCTTCCAGCCCTAAATCTGATCATTCTGAGTGGTCACCTCATCTTCTGTCGCCTACCCATCTCCGTCTCACAAAGGCCTCGCAGCCACAGTTAACAGGCTAAGTCATGTTTTGTTATCCATTTTGGTTCCTAATTTCTTACATTCTATTAATGATCATTGTTACAGCAGGACTCTTTAACAGTATTGCCTACAGACTCCAACATCATGCATACCAGAGACAAGCCTCACCAACCTACCGTTTTAACTTTTATGCTTTCAGATGGGGGAGTAATCACCTCTCATAACTCCACTCCTCCTAACCCCACGTTTAATTTTCAGAATTCTGTCTCACCATGGAAATGTTTCTACCTCAACATGGTCCTGATAGAATGATATGTCTAAATCAAAGGCACCTTTCCTTCTACCTCACCTGGGTCCTTAAATATGACAGTGCCATGTCTCCTCATCACATCTTGTCTCTTTGTTTTTCCAGTCTGACATACATGCATTCACCAGTGAAGTAGTCCTGGCTAAAACACCTGGCAGCAGCGTCTACCTGGGCATCAACCTTCATCCTGTCGACTCCCCTAGGCTCCAGTACAGCTCCCTTTGCCAGCAGGAAGTAGTTAAAGAGAGAAATCTTGACCCCTTTTCATAATAATAATCATAAGACGGGATATGAAAGGGTTTTGGCCCAGACAGGACACTGTAGCCAGGAAAGCCACAACTGGAAGCAGGAAGCCCCATCTTTCCCTGCCCCTAGGAAGTTACCTGTGATGCCATCTTCCCGCCCCTGGGAATTTACATATGGCGCCAAACCTAGGACCAATGGGCTACCTGTGTATCCCTAATGCCCGCCTTAGGTTCCACCCCAAACCGAGGCTATTTACAGGCCCCCACGCCACGTGTCCGCCGGAGAGATCACTGGACGCCAGCGGTTGGGGTGCCGGTGATCTCTCTCCGTGTTCTCAGAATAAAGGCCGCTTTTTATTTTATATTTCTCATCTTTTGTTAATATTTTTCATCTTTTGGAAATAACTCTATCAGTTTTAAGAGGCAGGAGTGCCTTACCTAAGAGATATTTGACAA